AATTTTAAAAAATGACAAAAACTGAAAGTGTTTCTTCCATTATTGTACGTTAGTGTAATATATATATAGCATAATAAATAAATAGAAAAAAACACGAAGAAAATTAAGAAAAACAATAAGTTTCATTTATTGCGCATAAGATAGAACTCATAAAATAAGTTCAAAATGAAGATAAAACAAAGGAAAATTAGAGACTAATGAAAAAAGAGGGAAAAAGAAAATTAATAATAAAAATAAAAATAACAAAAACTGGAAAAAGAAAAAAAAATTTAAAAAAAATCCGAAAAAAAGGATAGAATTCTTTTAAAAATCCGGAAAATAAAAGATATAATCTTTTCATCAGCACACACGATTATATCCGCAAGAAAGAGTGCTTTCTAATATTGCATCAATATAGCCAAAGCAAAATATATCAATACAATAGTGTGAGGAGCACTCAAAAAATTTTTTTTGCAAAAATTACAATAAATAAAATAGAACACAATAAGTAAAAATAACACATGGAAACAGAAAATAAAATATAAGGAAAAAATAGAATAAAACATAATCTATAAATCGAGTAGCGAAATCGACATGAACGGGACTTACGAATCGAACTTACTATCGACATGAATCGAACTTACATGAACGGGAAATTTTTCAAGAATGATTTGAAATATTTTCGTAGCAAGATTGCCAGATTGCAAAATATGAAAATAAAGGCGCAAATTGAGATAAAAGCGTAACTACAGGAGTTTTGTTTTAAAGTGCGTTCATACTGCATTACTGAAGTGAGTTTGATTTGTTAGTTACCAAGGATGGGCCCGAAAATGGATGTGCTCAAGGTAATATTATACTGGATAATTTAAAGAAGTTGACTATAAATAATTTTGGAAAATTAAATATTTATTTAAGAAAAATAGAAATGTGTTATTTTTACTTATTGTGTTCTATTTTATTTGTGGTAATTTTCGTAAAAATGTTTTGATTGCTCCTCACACTATTGTATTGATGTATTTTGCTTTGGCTATATTGATACAATATTAGAAAGCACTCTTTTTTGCTGATATAATCGTGTGTGCTGATGAAAAGATCCTATATATTTTATTTCCGGATTTTTAAAAGAATTCTATTCTTTTTTTCGGATTTATTTTTTAATTTTTTTTTCTTTTTCCAGTTTTTGTTATTTTTATTTTTATTATTAATTTTCTTTTTCCCTCTTTTTTTCATCAGTCTGTAATTTTCCTTTGTTTTATCTTCATTTTGAATTAATACACATTTATCTTGCAATAGTATCTACTATATATTTTAAAAATCGTAACCATAAAAGAAATCTGCATGGAAGGCAAGTATAGAGTAAAACATTATACAGTGTTACACTATCATACGTACATTTTGAACTAAAAGGAGCTAAATTTATGCATAAAATTATATCTGCATTTATTATAAAAGTAATATTAAACATGCATTACCACATGCGTTCTTAAGTTAAATTGCTACTGATAAAATCCGTTAAATTTGTCTGAGTTTTTCGCTTGAAATGCAAACAAAAAGGGAAAGGGTTCTAACTGCTTTCTCTAAAGGTTAAGTGGCTTCAAAAAGCAATTCAAGGGCATTTCCCCCATAAAATGCGTTAACATGTTTAAAATGCACTGAAATTTTACGGTAATATGGAAAGTGGGTCTAAAAGAAAAATTCGATAAATAGAAAATTCACTTCGCTATTTGGAAGTTATTTTAAGAAGAAATTTCCAAAATGTTCTTGGTTTCTCGAAAAAATTCGCAAAATAGAGAAATTCGTAAAAGGGAAGTTCGTTAAATAGAGGTATGACTGTACATATATATATATAGATTTTTTAATTCGATTTCTTAAAGAAATTAATTAAATCACGATTAGTAGGAAATACTAAACTTCTAAAGCAATTAGTTCTATCTCAGTTTCGATATTTCAGAAGAACTAGAACAATTCATTTCTATTCCTAGTTTTAATAAAGGAACTCTTGAAATGACTCCATTAATTTCTTCATAGGTACTATACTAGCTTTCTAATTTAGTGAAACACATAAGACTTCCATTCATTTTAGGCAGCCAGACCAATGCTCGAAAGACATGCAATTCTCATTTCCGATAAAGCAAATTTAGATCTTCCATATCTTGATGTCAGACGAAATTGACCAATTGTAAACTATTACAAGTTTATCCGGTAGATTACGGTGTTTTTGCCATTCACAAGGACTAAAAGTATTCCGTAGAAGATTTTAATTTTATTGTTTTGAAGCATTTTTTAACCCTTATTTGACCTCAGAATCTCGATTAAACATGTTTTTAATACTTTGTTCATTATTTCGTATTAATTTAGGTCAAAATAAGTGAAAAATATTATATTTAGCATTTTAATAATTTATGGTTACGAAATACAGCACGAAACACCGGTGTCTTTTTCTGCGTTAATTTTCCAAATACGGCTCACTTCCAAAAATGAATCTTTCAAATTTTTATAGTTATTTATATCTAAAAGAAGCAATTATTTATCATTGAAATTTCTATACGAAAACAAATTGTTGAACGAAAACAAATTTTACGTTGTTTCTATACGAAAACAAATTGTTGATAAACTTTTTTAATAAGAATGAAAAAAAATTCAAACTGCTTTTTTTCGATTTTAAAATTTAGATTATCGTAATTATATTTGTACTAAGATCTATTTTTTAACAACTATAGACAAGTCTCATGTGCGTCAAGGAATTGAATATTATACTGCGCTAAAGGATTATTACAAAGGATTAAATTATTACATATTATCAAACAAATATTATGTTGTATCGTAAACAATTTTTAAGAGCATATGTCGAAATATAAGGTAGAATTTATAATCGAAAAAATTTATTTGGAATCATTTTAATAAATTATATTTATTATTATTTTAAAAGTTTCCGGTCTTGGTGGATAATTCAAGAACTTAATGTAAACATTTCGTGGAATTTTTCCAAGTACATGCATTAACTAAATGAGATTTAACTAAAATGGAACTAAATTTTCAGTTTCAATTTAACGTTGCCGAAAGTCAAATTTCTTTAACTTGGAGGATTCGCTCTCCACACCCCGTATTCTCCTTCCATACGAGGTATTCATTCTCATTCATCATTGCTTATTTCTGCCAAAACGTCAATGTTTTACACACAAAAAAAGTGGACGTTTTGTGGAGAACAAACATATTTTGGTTTCAAAATATATAATTATCTTTACGAATGAACATGTTAAGTATAATGAAATGGATATTTACCTGAACTTTAAAAAAGTTTAACTTTAAGAACACATAGAACGAGTGACTCAATAGAAGGATGTAAATGAAAAATATTTGTATTCTTAGACGAAACTTATAACACTTCAAATAAAAAATGATTTTAATCTCTTATTTAATATTTATTTTTAAAATTTTCATAATAAGTTTTACAACTCATAATTTTTTACAATTCATAATTTCTCTCTTTTCAGTTTGTTACTTTTGATTCCATCTACTCAAGCGAGAGTTTATAAACTGAAAAGATAAAGATCTAGTAAGGGAAAAATAAATTTTTACAACAATGGATAAATAGGCAGTATTTGATGCAAAAAAAGCTGAAAGAAATCACGAAAATTCAGTTAAAATTGCAATAATTCTTGAACAAATGGGATTTCCCCACCCAAAAGAAAACTGGTTAAAATTATAACACAAAATGGTCCTATCAGCATAGTAAATTTAAGCTGGTTCATTTCATAGTAAATTTAAACTATATCAAAAATAAATGTTTCATTTCAACGGATACACTAGCATTTTTTTTACCAGTTATAACAGCCAATAATTATTAAACTTTATCGAATCTTTATACTCTTTGTGCACTTTTCTACACGCCTTCGTAGTTTCAAGTCTTAAATTTTTTTGCTGTAAAGCAAAATGTGGAGTAAAGAAAAAAAAGGGGAAAAATTAACATAAAAGGCGCTTAAAAATTCAGTAACTTTCGAACAACTGTATTCCAGCTCTGTATTTGCATTCTTGCTGCGTGTAAAGCAGACCGTATGGTATTTTTCCAACAAGTTTAACAGTTAATGCTCGAACAAACTATAGAATGTACATTTTTTTTAAATTCTATCTCAATTCCTGTACTTTTTTCTATACATCATTATAACTACAAGTTTTATAGTTTTGTAAATGTAACGTTAAGTGTAATGTTATGTTGAACATCCAAAATAGCGTCATTTTTAGTGTCGGCCCTAACGATTTTTTAACATAGACAAGTACATTATAGAATTTCATGTTTGATGTGCATTAGATTTTGTGAAACTAGTGATTACCTCATAAGATTTAATAAGACTTGCACGAAAGTTTCATGAAATAACAAGTTAAGACATTTTCATGTTCCTGAAAGAATAAAATTTTGGAATATTTTTAAACAGTTTTCTTTCATTACATGTCTTCTCATGTTTTTAATTATTTGTAACTCTTAGACTAATCGGTATTTATGTTTGCTGATTTGTCATTTGAAAATAATTAAATATTGTATTTTAATGTTGTATTATTGTAATATTGCACTTAACTTAAATTTTTCTTTATCCGTTTCTACGTTTTCCCAAATATTTTACTTTCTTCGAACATTTTTATTTCCTAAGCTAAGTTATTTTTCTGTCAAAAAATGAACGTAATATTTAAATGAGTAAACAGTCTAAACACTAATTATCAACGAAATACGAGAATTTAGAATTCATGACTCAGTTGCCGAAATCCGAAATATTATGCCAAACACAAAAACGTAATTCCGATAAACTTTTCAAACCATGTAGCAAATCATAACGGCGCAAAAATCGAAACGTGACTTCGTAGGATTAATTTGCATATATACTCTAAATAACCAATTATACTTCAAAATTACTCCAAATTAAGTAATTCAAAAAATTTTAAATTCAAATTCAGAAGTTAGAAAAAAATAAACTGAGAACAATTAGAATTTTTTGTTTTTTAAAATACAAGTTTATTCAAATTTTAAAGTCAGATTTTTTTTTTCGTGTAAAATGTAGATACTACAGCATTGTATTACATAAAATTAAAAAGTTACGACAGTTTATTTTAACAAATTTTTACGAAACTTTAAAAAAAATAACTTAATTATAGTTTACAATTCCGCTTTAAAATTCAGAAATTTGGAGTTGGTTCGAGTTGACTCGTTTGACGATTCAACATCGAAACTTTTGTCCAATTTGGAATTTTTCCTTTCATTCGCCACTCCTCGTTTGGTGCGTACTGTAGGCCTTTTACTTTTGATATTGGAAGGAGGTTGTGAATAAATTGAATACATTTCAATGTACTCATTCATTTTTTCTTTTAGTAAATGTTCAAGTTCGCTTTGAAAACTTTTGTTTATGTTGTAAGGGTGATAAAATTGTGGAATTTTTATTTGTCTTTTCTTAGAATATGATTTTGTACCTTTTTTGGAATCGAAAATTTTTCCTTCAACATCTGCGAATCTTTCGTTCAATGCCCCAATTATTTTACGCAACTGGAGTTCTAAATTTTCTCTTTCTTCATTATAAATTTCAACACTAGATGACTCTGCAGTAACGTGTGAAGGGGGTCTTTCAAGGGAGTCTAAGTAGGATTCATCTGTATTAGAGGTTTGATCTACTACAAGATATGATACAGACTCATCGGGTGAATACGGAGGATCAACTAAAATATATGTTTCTCCCGAGGAATGTTCGTGATCTCCTTTGTGAAGCTCTTTTACATTTTGGTTATTTTCACCAGATAATTTAATATCGCCAAGCTCTTCTTCCGAAACTTCCTCTGTAACTATTTCTTCCGGAAGATCCATTAGCTCCCCACTTCTGTGTATATCAAAGTAATCAACTTCGGAAGTGGAAGTATCGGTGGTAAAAGAATCTAGCGATGTTCCTTGTTCATTAGCTATCTCTACAAAATCATCCACCATACCAGATCCGGAATCTATTAATAATGAAGATTCAAGCACGAAAGATTTCTGAGACTCGTTTACATTCTCGTTTTTTATAAGTGACTCCGTGACACCAGGTTGCGTGTTTTCATTGATTAGATCCAATGATTTCGGAAGCACTAATTGCTCTCCCTTTGCATGAGAATCAACTTCAGAGGTTGGAGTATCTTTGGGGGAAAAATCTGCAGCTATTCCCTGTTCAGACGCCAATGTAAAATCTGCTTCTATGCCAGATCCGAATTCTGTGTATAATGAAGTTCCAAGCGTAAAAGGTTTTAGAAACTCATTTACTATCTCTGATTCTACAGTAGACTCAGGCTGCATGCCTTCGGGAGCTGGATCTGAAGGTTTCAATTTAAAAGAGCACTGGAATATTTTCTTTGCATTTTCGTCTTTCCACTCACAAGACAAGGTCTGTAAGGGAAAGCTATCCATGTTCTCCCAAGATATCAAAGCTCCATCTTCGCTTATACTCTTAACCAAGAAATCTTCATTGCAGCTTAGAAGCTCTAACAGATCTAGAATGTAATCCTGCAGAGATTTTAGCTCAGCATTAAGTTCTTGCGAAATTTCTAAATTTAAAGTTTTAATTAGTCTCGATTCGCTAAGATTATCTAAACAGCTAGCTAACATTATGATCTCCGTTTCGCAAGGCTTCAAAATGTTTTCATAAAAATTAGAACCCAACTTATAAATTTCGGTACTAGCCTCTGATAAAACTTTCTTAATATTTCCAAACAGTAAACTAAACCCTCTTGCACTCAAATCTGGTTTTGGAGACAGTTCACCTTTTGGCAGTTTACATTTTTTGAAGAAAGGACCAAATTTATCATCAATTTCTTGCTTAAAAATATATTTTCTCAACTGATATTCATCCGATTCGAACAAATTTGATAGATTCTCTTCATTCATCAAGAGAGCAAAATTGTCCATCGTATCAACCAAGGCTGCTTCAAAGACATTGTTAATAGCTTTTGAGAGAGCGACAGATAGAGAACCGATTCTTTTTATAGTTTCTGATTGGGATGGTCGGCGTCGTTGGTATCTGCAGTACAGAGAATTACGTAGCCGAATCTCGCATACAATATCCCTGTTCTCTATTTTTAAAATGTGCATTCTTCTATGTACTTCAGCTGCTACAGAACCGCATCTTTGTTTCATTTTCCGAATGGTACAGTAAAATACTCTTTCAAGGGCCCTGAAAAGTAAACTTATTATTGATTTAAAAGTAAAATGTGAACTGGGTTCGAAAAATTATTATAAAAACGTACTAAATGATAAGCAAAATATCTTGTAGTTATAATATAATAAAGTATATTACGTAATATAATTTTGTATGTACAGTCGAACTTCGTTAAGGGGAACACGACGACGTAGATTTGTTTTTACGTGAACTAATTTTCGATTTCTCTACAAATTGTATATGGATAATGCTTTAAAGTACTTTTTTAACGTGAACACGCTCGATGTGAAATATTTTTTATGGTAAACTCTAATTTCATTGCCCTAGGAACGATTTTCGCATTTATCGTGAATTAAGTTGTTGTTAATTTACGTCGCACTAGAGCTGCACAATGGGCTATTGGCGACGGTCTGGGAAACATTCCGGAGGATGATCCGAAGACATGCCATCACAATTTTGATCCTCTGCGGAGGGGATGGCACCCCCGCTTTGGTAGCCCGACGACCTGCGCACTTTACGGTAACACAGTTTAACGAGGACCAATATCGTGAATTAAAAATTTCGAAATTGTGCAATAAATCAGTTTAATTCAATTAGCTAGTAGCTTTTTAGTAATTTTTATTTGCTTCTACGTAATAGAAAAAAAATACAGCATAGAAAGTACACATCATAAGATTTTTTTTTCTTTCTTTCTAAGTTTGTAATCTCTATAGCTTTATTTTATTTTTTTAAAGCAATTAGTTGTATTTATTAGGAGAATATGTATGGAAGATATTAAACATTTATCTTAGAAATTTAAGCTTAGTAGAAAATCTGTATTGTATGATTTTTATGAAAAATTTCTGAACCGATAATGTGATATACTTTTAACAATTAACAAATTTTCTGTCCCCCTTCGAGTTTACTTTGAAACAAAGTTTGACTGTAACACCAGAGGGCAGCCCCCCCTGCTCAAATTTCTAGCCATCTCCCCAGAATTGCGCTACTAGTTCCTTTCGGATTTTTTCGCAATTAGAGCTCACTTTGTTCGCTCAATGAACACTATTCTAATTTAGTCAGGCATTATATGTTAGATTAAATTCCTTAAAATGAAGTTCTGAAAGTAGGCAACATATACATCCAGTAAAACCTTAAATTTATATGCATTTAATTCAATTTATATACATTACTTTTTGATTTATATGTATTTCTATGCTACTTCGAAATAATATTTTTAGACAAATAACTAATAAGATTATAAATTTTTACAATTATAACTCATACACATTGTGTTTTTAGTCTCGGCAGTTTCACATTTTTTAGTTCAATATAAACACGTCAATTGCGTAAAAAAACAAAAATATAACGAAATTAAAAAGCAAAACTCAAAGTGAATCTCAGGTGATAAAACTTAACTCTCCTGTTTTAAAGAGAGTTGTTTTGTCCGTAGGTGATTTTGATTTCATTGAGAAAGTAACAACAGTCAACTTTTTTCAACTTTCCATAATTTTTCTATAATTTAATTTAGAATTCTGGATTTTTACTGTAGTTTAACGTAAGCACAGGCATTATTTGAACACAAACACTTTTTGAAACAATGTAAAGCACTTAAATAATTTATATTCACTTTGGAGGTAAAATTCGGCGGGGAAAAAATACTAAGGCGTCTTGCTCTCACGGCTAAAATCATAGAAATCATGCTAATGACTTAGAACTACTTTTAATAGACAGTCAAACATACCCTTTTTAAAACCAGACTAGCTTAAAGAAATTTAAAAATGAAAATATTTTTTTTTTTTTTTTGAATATAAAAATGTTTAGATTTAAAAAAATCCAAATATTTTTATATTTAAAAAATATACTCAAAATAATTTAAAACAAATTATTTTGATAAAAAAAAAACATTTACCAATATGCAAGTGCTATAGTATGAATTTAACAACATAGTATACTCGCTAGTTATCAAGTTTTAACTTAATAGGTTTATTAAAAGTTTAAAAATCTTACACGCAAGGTGATTGAATTTGAATTGAGAGCAGATTTAAGGAAAATGCTTATTAGATTTAAAGCTTGTCTAATGCTTATCATTAGATTTGAGTAAATTTTAAGCGAGATATTTTAATTTTTAGAAGATTCCAGATTTCACTATTCTTGCTTTAACTTTGGAAGTTTTAATTATATTCTTTTATTGTGTGTTTCTTTGTTCAGTATAAAACAAAATACAACATTTTTTTAAGAAAAAAAAATCCAAAATTTTGTTAGGGAAAATTTTAAAGAATTATAAATTAATTATAAAGAAAATTCAAAATATAACTAAATTATTATTAAAACTGCGTAAACTGACAAGCACAGTTAAAGCAAAAATATAGAACAGTGTTATAATCTGTTCGATTTTAACTTTTCATTTTTGTCCAACTTATAGCTCAGTTTGTTTTTGATTTTTGTTGCTCATACAAAGAAAGAAATATATTTCAGAAGTTTATAAACTTGACTGTTCAGGTGTTAGTGCCAGTCTCTCTTCTTACATTTCAGTTTTTATTGCAAAGCAAAATAGCAATTTCATAAGACTTTTTTAACAACAGACTAATCAAATAGTTTTATAAAGTGATGTTTGAACAAATCTGTTATGTAGATTGGGAAAAGATCACTGTATCTTCAATGGCCTAAGAGTCAGGCCCGGATATACTTAGGCACTAGAATAGCTCGAGCTAAAAGAATATTACCTCTTATTTTGGGTAACGAAATAAACCGTTATTACTGAGTCTTACGCTGACGACTACCAAAATAAAAGAACAAAATAATGATAAAATGCTATGGTGGTTTGGGATCATGGAACCTGTGTTTACCTGAAAGCAAACCAGACTGAATTAAAGTGGGTAAATTTCGACTGAAAGTTACAGTATGTGTACGTAAATATTTTTAATGAAAATCTAATATTAAAATTGATGTAAAGAAGGTCAAATTTAGTAGAAATTTGAACATACTCGCATGGTTCAGGTATAAGGCACCAGTATGGACGATCGTCTACATATTCCTCCTCTTCTTTTACGCATTCTTCTGCGACTTTCTTCTCATTTTCATTGATACACTTTGCAGAAGAAAAGTAATCTAGGAAACAATAATAGATTCAATAATATGCAAACACACATTTTGTAGATTTCTAACTATATTTGAAAATCTAATGATGGTGACGTAGTTTTCCAATGTTGTTGGCAAATTTTTATTGGACAGATTATTACATGGTAAAAAACCAGTTTCCCAACATTAATTTACATTTTGTTTTTGCTTCTCATCTGCATGAAATAAATATAAGTCATAAAGATATTGTTTTCCTGTAATACAATTTCGTATCCCTAATTTAAAAATATTTAGCTTTAACATGTGTTTTTTTTCTACTTTGCTTTCAATAAGTTTTTAATTAGTTTGTTTTCTAAATTTAAATCTTAAAAGTAAAAGCGTTGTTTCAGTATTATAATGTAATTCTATGATATTACATTATTCCGCTACATTTAAGATAAACTTCTTTAAAGCAGTCTACTTAAAGTTTTTCCTATTTTTGCTGCACATCCATTAATATACTATTATAAATTACAGTTAAAGAGATTCGTTAAATGATTAAATGAACTTATGGCGAGTTTTTACTGAAGTTCAGAAGAGGGTTTGATTTATTAGCTACCTTGAATTGGCCAGAATCTGGATGTCCACAATGTAAGTATATTATACTGGATAATTCGAAAGGTTATCAAAGCTTAACCCAGTCAGGGGGCATCCGGAGAATACTGTAGACTAAGTGCGCGTACGTGACCTCTCAGCAAAAGAAAAAGATTATAAAAGGTCGGCTTGATCAAAAGGTTATAATTAATAAGGTTAAACTGCGATGGCTCAAGGGGTAGAGCGTTCACCTTCCAGTGAGGAGAGCCGGGTTCGATTCCCATCGGTGGCTGGTCGATACGAATTCCGCATCCGGCTTGCACTGACCGGAGTGCTGACGTGAAATATCCTCAGTGGTAGTCGGATCATGGATTTGCGTCCCCTTGTCGTCAGGCTAACCGTGGGATGCTCTCGTGGTCTTTCTCTCCATGTAGCGCAAATGTGTGTTAACTCCATCAAAAAGTCCTCCACGGAGCAAATTACCCAATACTTGATCCAGGAGTTCTCTTTTCTTTTGGATTGGGTTTAAAATTACAAGGCTACGGAGTAAAAGACGTAAACCCCAAAATGGGGTCTGCTGTTCAATGGCGGTTATAAAATAATTTAGAACTTAATGATCAGCTTCATGCACAATGTGATTTATTAATATAGCATTTTATTTAGCATGATTTATAACATGTGACTATTTAATATAAAAGCCCTTTTAGGTTAGCGAAATTATTAAACTATGGTTGTGAAGTCACCAAATATGTTATAATAATATACTCATAATTTCAAATGTTTTTTTAAAAAATAATTACTAAGCAAAATTATTAATGTTCCCTAATAGATCTTAATATAATCATAAGGGAAAAGTTTGGACATGGGAAGTAGACACAACGTAAGTAAACAATTGTTGTTAGATATATTTTAAGTGAATAGCTTCAACTTTCGTAGGAAAAACTTAACTCAGGAAATAATTATTGTGGAGCAATTATTGGGGTTGGTGAGAGGCAGCGAAAAAAAGAACTTATCACTCTAGTTCATTCATGATCTGTATAAAAACGAAATTTACTTCTTTTCCATTCGAAGTCCGTACAAAAAAGTTTTAAGCTTCTTCTGTTGTCAAGAATCATTCTAGAGACGTTCGTAAACTTCTCGTTGCAGAAATCTGCAGCCTGTTCAACGCATGCAATGAACTCTTTGTGCTTCCTGGAAGAAAATTACTTTAAAACATGCTCAGAAAAAAGTTATTTTTTGAAAAATAATACTCCTTAGTTGAAGTTCTTATTCGTTCTGTTATAAAAATAAGAACAAATATTAAAAATCACTAGCTTGGTATCGAAAGCTAAGGAGGAGAGAGTTCAAAGTTAATCAAGTAAAACTGAAGGAACTTGAAGCAGCAGCTTCCGTACATTAAGGAGGAATTTCAATTCTTTTACGAATCAATTTAAAAATAAAAGGAAAATGAAGTCATTTCCTTGTTAGAGCCTCAATTTCAAACTATTGTAAAACTAAGTAAACTAACCATATAATTAAGCATAAATTTAAAGTGAGTTTAAAAGTCACTCACTGAATTATTAAGTTTAAATTATGGAGATTTCAAAACAAAAACATTAATATATTCGAGCAACTTTAAAATATTGAGTTGAACCTGCATATTTCTGAAAATCTATGTGGTTCTGTAGCCAGACGCCCTGTTCCACCTGTAACACTCATCCTGTAATCTCCGCACAGGTAAACTTTCTTGAAACACTCGTCTTTGGCAAGTTCGTCATAGGTCAGGCAGCTAATTACCTGCACTAGCACTGAAAAAGAAATAAAGCTAGATTTACGAAATGTAGACATTTTTTCATTAATTCTATATAATGTCCACCATTTATATCAATATGAATCTTCATCGAAATATTTAGTGTTATAGGATATACAGTGAAAAGAAATACGTTAACTTCGGAACGGGTAAAGTTATTAGTTGTGAAACAAATACAGTTAAAGTCCGTTTTACAACAATTCACAATAGCCGATTGAAATACTGCAAAAAAAAAGCTTGAAAGCAAAAGTACATATCTAATGTTAAAATGACGCAAGACTAGTGGGGAATTGTTTGAACGTCATTAATAGCAAAGTTTATTTCAATATTAAGTGGACAAAAAAAAGTTTGACAGATACGCTTTTAACAAACAGAATGTTGTTTTTAAATGTGAGGCGGGACTTTTTGAAACACAGACATTTTCTTTTATTAAGAGGAAAATAACTTTGCCAGTGGTCCCTCATATGCTTTCTTTTAAACAAAAGATTAAAATTACAAGATGGTAAAATGATTTTCAATTTTATCCTTTCGTTAATGATACAGAAAGAGATTTTTTTTACTGTTATTAAATAAAATAAAAAATAAATGTTTAGCAAACATATTTTGCATGAAATTATTTTTTGATAAACTAGTTTTATAATTGTCTGCAAAAAATTTTCAATTCCTCAGAAAGCTCTCGAGGTATGGTGAAATACCTGAAGTAAAATTATCATTAAGGGGTTCAAACTTTGGAACCCTCTTCTGACCAAACTATTGGGATTGAGGCTAGTCCCTAGGTTTTGGGAGTTACAAAGCCAATTCAGTCTAGAGAAAGGTATATTTATTCAGAGGAAGTAAGTTTATGTGTCCGATTTTCATAACCTAGAATATTGTCTGTGCTAATCATTTAGCCTATTTGAGGACACCCCTTTGAAACATTAACATTAAGTTTTAAAACTTGAAAATACGATAATTAGATCAAAAAATATTTAAGTCAGTTTTTTGCACAAACAAAATACAATCTTGTTTTAAATATTGCTTCAACACGAAAATATTTGCTCGGATTTTATTTCAAATTCTTAAGGAAATTATTTCTTAGCGATGATTTTAATCCCAAAACACTTTCGACGATTAAAATGTTCCATCATGTATACATCGTATCAAACAAATGATAAAGAAATTGCGATTTAAGTAAAACGATTATCTTCTAAATTAAAGATGCGCAAACCCTGTCAAGGTAGTGACTTCAAACCAATTTTAAGTAATTGAATTCAGCTTTATAATTAAATCAATGACAAGTCGTAAGTTGTGTACCTAGATATGCTAAAAGCCCATTAAACAGTTTGGTATGTAGGATTCATCCGTAAGATATATTCAACTGGAATGTAGAAACACTTGAATTTACACCAAAACTGTTGAATCTAATCAAATGACTTATCAACCTATTACGAAGTTCCAAGGATTAACTCGTTTTTCCTAAGTGACACGCCAAAAATGAATTAAAGTTGTCGATTCTAAATGTTATGGAGGAAATGAAGCTAGATTTTCAGTATTAAAATAGTTCTGCTGTGTTAGTTCCTTGCTCAGGAAACAGCGACTTAAAAGTAATTTAATTTGAGAGAGACTGAAAGCTGAATGATTACTTCCAGAAATTTTATTTAAAACATTTTAAGCTGCACTGTCACTTAGCTAAACTTGTCGAAATGCCTTGTATTCAATAAATGGAACCTTTTGTATTTAATTGCCTGAGAAACGTTTTAATTTAAAACTCAAAAATTACAACAGTGTTAGAAAATTTAAGTTTAATTATTGCCATATTGTAAAGAATTTAAAAACACCCATATAGACAAATAAGCTCTTTCCATCAATGTAATACGCGTGCAAGGCATTCTATGAAAGATTTACAAGCTCATTACAACATATTTATTGACACATAAAAATTTGTTGTTGTTGTAGTTCATTTACGTCGCACTAGAGCTGCACAATGGGCTATTGGCGACGGTCTGGGAAACATCCCTGAGGATGATCCGAAGACATGCCATCACAATTTTGATCTTCTGCAGAGGGGATGGCACCCCCGCTTCGGTAGCCCGACGACCTGCACGCGAAGTCGAGCACTTTACGGTAGAACAGTTTAACGAGGACCAATACCGCACACCCTCGGTCCCTACGCAGACTGATCCAAGTGGTCACCTACCCGCACACTGACCGCAGCCAGTGATGCTTGACTTCGGTGATCTGCTGTGTCTTAACGATCAGTCCACTGCGGGACCATGAAAATTTGAGCAAAGATATTTAATTATACACTAATCTCAAAAATGTTTGCGACAAATGAAAGCGAGGTAGTCTCGTTTAGGTTTTAAATAATTTGTTACACAGAGTTTTAATGGAAGAAACAAATAGCATTAAAAAAAATCAGGTAGTGTATATTTCTGACCAAAAACAACTAACAATTCTATCAGTTCAGACTATTTTTCAAACGATTACACGGGAACTAATTATAATGGCAGGTAACTTTTTAGGAAATCTATATTCCACCTTCTTTACTTTCCTGTCCCGTTACGGGTAAACCGCAACCTTTTTCTTATTTCATTGAGGGTAAACCGCAATACTTTTTCTTAATTCGTAACGAATTCATCTCCTCAACAAAAACTCTGCCTTAATCAGTCAAATCTGTAATATTTCTAAAAATGTCGTTTGCATTTTCCATCTATCTAGTGAGGCTGCACTAATTTATAGCTTATGTTAGCCTTTGTTTTTGATTACTCTTGTAAGGTACTTAAGAATTAGGAATTGGCATTATTTTTAATACTTATGTCACGTGACTGCATTAAACCTTCTAATTCAGGGGCTCTACTTAAAGATAGTTTTCTTTAACTTTTAAAATGATCCCATAAAAAGATTTTAAAAAGAAAGATCGACCTTAATAGAAATAAATTTTTAAACTTGCATTCATTAATACTTCAAAAGCACAAGAAACAATCACTTATAGATGTTACTTTGTCTTTACTAAACATAAACGAGATACCAAAGACAGACGTTTCTTTGTAATTTGCGGGTTAATAGTTTTCTTTTTTTTCGTTTTTTTTTTATATTTTAAAATTTTTGTTCGAGTGCAAAAACAGAATCGAAAAATTTTATTTTATAATCAAAATCTTAAAAATCTTAAAAAACTTTATACTTTCAAAATTTTTTAGATTATTATTCAAGGAAAGTGTTTTCAAGTTTTTAAATTTACTTAATCGCTGTGTTATAAAAAAATTGAAAAACAAGTATTTTAAAAACCACTTCTTAAATGACATATTGGTGTATATTTAACGTTTATACATTTTACGCCGTTAAAGCTGAATTATAAGTTAACACAATTCTAAAAGAAAATAAAAAATTTGAAAACTAACGTATGTTAAATTTAAAATTTATATCAGATTTGACAGCAGCCATTAAGGAATTAGGTTAACTGGAAATGTAAAAATTTTCTCAAATGCATTTGATAAATTTAGTTTATATTTTTCTTAAAGCATAAGCAAACTGAAATGGGGAAAAATCAGTGCATTTTGGTTAAAAAACCACATTTTCTGCATTCCAATAAATTAAAGCATATTACTACCAACTTTAAATTTTTTTAAGTTGAATTTGCAATTTACAATTCATTGTTAAACTCAGAGTCAAGGGATTTTTCTGATGAAAACTTGTTTTAATGTCTTCCTTAAAAAAAATATTTATCCTAATTGTAATTAATTAAAATTCATGTTAAATTTTAAAAAACAAAAAAAAATTGAAGAATGTTTCTGTTAACATGTTATTTCAACGCAGCTCAAAATTTGGGAAAATAATGCAAAAATACTTATTATTAGAAAAAAACTCATTTTAAAACAATCATCGTACTCATATTTTTCATCTTACTCTTAACATTTTAAAAGAAAAATAAACTTAAAATGCTTGAAACTTTAATATACTTCAAGTATTTTTATTAGTTAGAATAAGGATAGAGGATTTTCAAATTTTAAGTTAAATTTATTCATATTTCATATTAGAATTTTCACAATTTCTTTTAAATGTCTCATATTTTAAACTTCAACAGAAATTCACTAAGTAAATTTATTAGTGTCTTCAAGTTGTTTTTTTAAGAATTAAAATACTCTAAATATTTGATAGCTGAAATATTTTATTGCATAAGAATGTTAAAAATATAACATAATCCGCATAATTTAGGTATAACTCATAAAAAGAAGAAAAACAGAAAATATTAAAAAAACACTTTTGATTACGATGTTGGCAGCAGAATAGTTTAAAACAACAAATCTTGCACAGATACAGTAATTTAATTAGAATACAAACATTTTAAACAAGCTGTGAATTTCTGTACACATGCGAAACTTAATGAAATTGAATTTATAAAACAATTTCAGCTGTAAAGAACTTGTCTTTAGTTTTCATAAATACTTTTAATTTTTTTTTTCATTTACTATAATTTTAAAAACTGAAAATCAGAGGTCAAATATAAGAAAATAACCAGATTAGGGTGAGTAGGCCACGTTATAGCGTTTTTGTAAATGAAAATTAGCTAAAAGTACAATGATGTGCAAAATATTTCAATATTATACAACTTTAATAACTTACCGAGCAAGAAAACTATTTTCATCAAGCTCATCATATTGGGAAACAACTGGTAAAGAAAGCGAGTCCCAACTAAACAGTGTATATGCTATTCATGTGGGCGTTTTAAAAATAAGCAGTGTCAAGAGCGCTCGCCAAAAAGTCTAAACCCGCTGCCGTTCATAAAAAGTTTGGAAAACAAAAGAACGGAATAAAATCAAAAACTGAAAAATTATCGATGAGCAACATTTATAAAATATCTACTGATTTCCCTATTTTATGAAGTTTTCGTAGGTTTCACTCAATTTGTACATTAGTTTCTTTCATTTAGTGTCCCGCTGTGGACTGATCGTTAAGACACGGCTCCCAGCAGATCACCGAAGTCAAGCATCTCTGGCTGCGGTCAGTGTGTGGGTGGGTGACCACTTGGATCAGCCTGCGTAGGGACCGAGGGTGTGCGGTATTGGTCCTCGTTAAACTGGTCTACCGTAAAGTGCTCGACTTCGCGTGCAGATCGTCGGGCTACCGAAGCGGGGGTGCCATCCCCTCTGCAGAGGATCGAAATTGTGATGGCATGTCTCGGATCATCCTCAGGCATGTTTCCCAGACCGTCGCCAATAGCCTATTGTGCAGCTCTAGTGCGACGTAAATGAACAACAACAACGACTTTCATTTAGTATGACTGAAAGATAAACATCCCGTACTTCGATACGAAAGGCCCGCAGTAGACTGATCGATAAGACACGGTTCCCAGCAGATCACCGAAGTCAAGCATCAGCGAAGTGCGGGTGGGTGACCACTTGGATCAGTCTGCGTAGGGACCGAGGGTGTGCGGTATTGGTCCTCGTTAAACTGTTCTACCGTAAAGTGCTCGACTTCGCGCGCAGGTCGTCGGGCTACCGAAGCGGGGGTGCCATCCCCTCCGCAGAGGATCAAAATTGTGATGGCATGTCTTCGGATCATCCTCCGGGATGTTTCCCAGACCGTCGCCAATAGCCCATTGTGCAGCTCTAGTGCGACGTAAATTAACAACAACAACAACTACTTCGATACGAAAGGCTTCAAAAACTCAGTAAAAATTCCAGCTAAATCAAATAATATCAAAGTGTTGAACTTAACTGATTGCAATCCATGTTAAAAGGAAACTAATTTCTTGATCTTCAATTAAGAATACGTCTATTATTTTTCAGTAAGCTTGTCAGTTTCTTCGGAACACGAACCCTTGACCTCCAGCGTTAGATATTAGGTTGATTGATTGATTGTTAATTTACGTCGCACTAGAGCTGCACAATGGGCTATTGGCGACGGTCTGGGAAACATTCCAGAGGAGTTAGATATTAGGAAGCCGTTATTTAGATATTAAGATCCCGAACAGCTGCGCAGATTGATCACTCTTTGAAAATCATTCAAGAAATTTCATTTTTACTGGCAAAACTCATAACATATTTATCATTTAGTGCATAAATCTAACAACTAAGCCTTTGTACGAACACGTAATCAGGATACTGAGTATACTTGAGTCTGGTATATACTTGAGTATACTTGATACAGAGTACTGAGTTTACGTATTCGGATTGCTGAGTCTCCAAATATAGGGGGTACCCGCAGTCTGGGAAATATGGTCCCCATTGCTTGATCAGGAACGAGGTTCAAACTTAATTTTACTTTTTGTGTATTTCACCATATCTTGAGAACTTTTTAGGCTAGATGAAAAATGTTTACTCGTAATTAGAAATTTAGTTTATCCAAAGATAATTCCATGCAAAATGTAACTTTTATGGTATATTTATTATTTTTTATTATTTTATTTAATAATATTCCAAAAACTTTTGAATTATAAGTTGTATATGCAGTTTTTTAAATCATTTTGGAGAATGCAATATTAAAGGGCTACAAAATTTGAGCGAATTTGGTCAAATAGTTTCTGAGAAATCGAGTTTCGAAAAAGTTTTACTTAAAAAATTCGAGTTCTTAGGAACTATCAGACCAATTTTGCTTAAATTTTGTATTTTGTCATGTAGAAATACATTATTTTAAATATTAAAAAAATAGTGTACAAAATAATAAAAAAATAGTGTTAAAAAATAGTGTACAGTTCAAAATTTTTCGACTATTATTAAATAAAGTAATAAAAAAATTGTAAATACTTTACTAAAAGTTATTTTTTGCACGGAATTTTAAAATTTTGAGCAAAAAATTTTGAATTCACTTAAGAAGTTCTCGAGATATGGTGAAATACATAAAGTAAAATTAACATTACTTTGGACAGCTCTTCTGACCAAACTATAGGGACCATATTTCCCAGATTGCGGCTATCCCCTATATTCGGGGGGTCAGAAGTCCAAATCCGTCAGAAAAATGGTATGTTTATTTAGAGAAAATATGTTTTTGTGTCTGAATTTGTAACTTAAAACACCGTCTGCACTAAATAATTAGCATATTTGAGGCTACCCCCTGGAACCATTAAGATTGAACCCTAGAGCGTGATGATCCAATCACTTTATCAAAAGTAATTCCGGGTGTTTTTTGCGCATTGTACACCTGTAGCTCTGAGGCAGCTCAGCAAATTTTTAATTTGTAATGCAGAGTATAGTCTTGGATCACACATTAGCCAAAAAGAAATTTCTTAAATCCCCAGAGAATGAAACCATCAAAAAATTCATCGAATGCAACCACTTTATAAATAAATAGAACAGCTTATAAACATTTGCCAATTGGAAGAACGGATAGCACAAATTAGAGGTGACAATACAAATACATCCCCCGTCACTTCATTGTTTTATTTTTTATAACCGTCGTTGAACAGCCGACCCAACATTCGCGTTTACGACTACTAATTTTCAACTCCGTAACCTTGTAATTTTGAATCCAATCCAGAAGACAAGGGCACACCTGGATCAAGTATTGTGAGAAAATTTTCTTTCGTGGAGAGCTTTTTGATGGAGTTAACCCGCATTTGCGTTATACGGAAACTAAAACCACGAAAACCTCTAATGGGTAGTCTGACGGCAAGGGGATGGCACGACCCGTCTTCCACTGAGGACATTTTCTGTCAGCACTGTGGTCGGTGCGAGCCGCCTGAGGAATTTGTATTGACCAGCCATATCGGGGATTCGAACCCGGCTCATTATATTGGGAGTCGAACTCTCTATCCCTTGAGCCACCACGGTTCCATGCGCAGCAATTTATGATTTCTTGCATTCTTGTCAAAGAACATATCTATCGAAAACCTTGCACTGTTACTTTCTGACGGCAAGAGGACTGATCCGTCTACCACTGATGATATTTTACGTAAACACTGTGGTTGGTGCGAACCGGTTGCGGAACTCGAAACAACCAGCAAAGATTCGAACTCTGTTCACCTCGAACGTTCTATAATACCTTGAGCCAGCACATCTCACCTCCATATGGAAGCGCATTTGGTGGAACCGCCATATCGTTTGGCTAAAGAGGTTCCTAAAAACGAGTAGTATTCATTTATTTATCTTTCTGGCGAGTTTTGAATGCCACCATAACCCTAGATGTATGTTTGTGATGTCTTTCTCTAACTTCAATTTGACTAGGGCTTAACCCTTTGCTGAGCAGAAAAGTTTAATCTAAAAGAAAAAAACATTAAATTGTGGAAAATCATCGTATGCATCATCATCGAATCATGAAAATCATTTTATGCAGATCCATAATCAAGCAATTTGCTTTATTTTTACTTTTCGGAAAATAAAAAGTGGTTGATAAAAAAATTATTGTTAAGGAGATAAAAATTAACAGAATTTTTTAGATTTATATTATTGTATTATCAAAAATAAGTGAGCCATTTCTTATCCCAAAATAACTTAACTCCCAAATAATTTAACGGAAAAGATTAAAGCTCAACTTGTTATAAGCACACAAAGCTGAATACGTATGTGTAAAAATAAAAATAAATATATATTGTTATAACCTTAAGCTGTAGAAGATAACTATATTAAAAATCTATGTAAAAAATAATTCTTGATTACATTTGAATCGCTGGTAAAATGCAATTAATCATTTGACGCAGAATTGTGATTAAACACATACTTTTAATATTTTTTTCTTATTTACTAATAATTTAGATCAAAATAAGTGAAAAATATTATATTTAGCATTATAANATTAATTTAAATATTAAGTATATTTTATAGGATATATACTTTCTTTATAATGCCATTACATATTTCTATTAATATAAAAAGTTTCAGAGCTTTTTATTCACTTTACTTTTTCGGGATTTTATGAACTGAAAAATGACAGTTTTCGTGAGAATGACCCTTATAAATAAATAGAACAGCTTATAAACATTTGCCAATTAGAAGAACGGATAGCACAAATTAGAGGTGACAATACAAATACATTCACGGTAACCCCGTCACTTTATCGTTTTATTTTTTATAACCGTCGTTGAACAGCTGACCCAACATTCGGGTTTACAACTACCAATTTTCAACTCCGTTACCTTGTAATTTTGAATCCAATCCAGAAGACAAGGGCACACCTTGATCAAGTATTGTGAGAAAATTTTCTTTCGTGGAGAGCTTTTTGATGGAGTTAACCCGCATTTGCGTTAGAATTTTTTTAATATATGAAATCAATTGCTGATAAATTTTGAATAAGAATGAAAATTCTTTTTTCAAACTGCTTTTCTTTTAGATTTTATGCTTAGTACAAGTATAATTCCTATAATCTAAAAATTTTTTAGTAACTATTAGACCAATTTTTATAATTAAAACCTACTAAAATGCATTTTTGTTGTATTTAGTGCACCAGAAAAAAAATTGTATCAAAGAATTTCGTATTTGGAAGAAATATTTCATCGGTGACTATACCAGGAAACAGCTTCGTCTTAGGCATAGAAAGTTTCGTGAAATTTGAGTATCCATTTTTATAGTGTGTTACCAGGCAATTATTACAATATATTACAATACTATAAGCATAATTAATTAAGCATCACTATCATCAATAATAGTTTGGAATTTTCTACGGTCGCTTGAAACGGAATAGCTCTTACATTTCTCTCGAATAATGTAAAAGAGTCATTTTAAATGTGTGAGTTTGAAGAAAAAGTTGAATTAAATAATGAATTAAACGATCTTATTCTAGAATGATATGGCTTAAAGCTTCATTTATGGAAAGAGAACGTTCTATTCCTTTAGCCAGCACGATTCTTATTTTTATTATTTGGCTTACTGCTTAAAAAATCAA